CCGCTGAGTCGCGCGGGGCCTCCTGGACGCGCCCGGCCTTCCTCCCAACCTCGCTTTCCGGGCGAAAAGCCATTGTTCTGGCCCGAGGGGAGGGAAGCGGGTCGGGGCGCGGCGGCCGCTTCCTTCCCGCGCCTCGTGGGGGCGCTGCTCCGGGGCGCGCGGTGCCCGGCGCGGGCTCCGCCTTCTGGCACTTGGTTCCCTGCAGTCTGGGGGAGTCGCCCTGTTTTGCGGGGGAGCAGAACGGGCCGGGGGATGGGGAGGGAATGGGGGATAAAGTGCTGGGGGCGGGGGCGCAGCAAAAACGGAGCCGCCCAAAGGCGGGAGAGGAAAACGCATCCACCCAACCACTCCGAGAAAAGAACGGCACCGACTGCTCGGCGATCTTGCCAAGTTGCTGGGAACGTGGAGTCCAGCCCCCAAGTCTGAGGGCACGTGCAGGGAGAGGAGCAATTGGCTTTTCCTTATTTGTTTCTCGGTTTTGATGAAATGAAGGTGGGCGGGGGCGGTCTGGAGAGCCGTTTCTAACTCAGGACTGTCATTAGTGGCCTGCGAGGGTTTAGCCATCAGTGTCCTTTGGATCAGTCGCCCGCGGCAGGAGGAGACCGGACCGCGAGTGGCCCCGAGTCCCCCCTGGGCTCGTCGGTGGCAGGCTACCCTTTTATTCTTCGCTGTTAAGTATCGAATTCCGTGGAGCAAGTCGCCCTTTGAGTTACTTACGTTTTGAATCAGAGCAAATCAAACACGTAAAGGAGAGGTACGTGAGCCTTAACTTACCGCGTCAGTACAGGCTCACTCAGGGCCATTCGTTTCTGGTTTTGTGTCTCCCCTGAGCACAGCTGCAGAGCACTTCGGCTGAGCAGATCGAAAAGTCGTTTCTTGCTGTGGAAGACTGTTTCAATGTAATTGTCGTCATTAAAAACGTGTTTATGAAGGATTCTGCAGGAGGAATGCATGGGTTTTTTTTTTGTTTTAGCAGAAAGGCCTACTGCAGAAAATACCGAACTGTAGGAACCGTCTCCCAATTCATGGCATGTTCTTCAGTTTATTTTGTTAAGTAGGTTACATTCATTTGACTTCCTGGAGAGAACTTGCAAACTCAGATATTGTTTGCAAAGGAGGCAGGAAAAAGGCACATTTTTTGGTGGGAGGCGATTGCTCACTTAGGAGGGGCGGCAGCAGAGAATCCATGTTTCCAGATAAAGCTGCCCTCGAGTGAAGGGGGCTGCATCCATTTCTCAGCCAGCTCTTTTTGTATCCCTGTCTTGGAGACTAGGCAGTAAATTGTGGAGCTGGGGGCAAAGGTGTATTTACTGTAATCCCACAAATAGCTGGATCAGTTTCAACTGGAATTTCCTTGCAGAATTCATTTTAGGTGTAAGATTTTCCCGTGGAAGTTTCCAGTTTCCTCTTTGATGCACGGTATCCTGGGATACTTGCTTAATTTCTTTCTTCCTATTTTTTCTTTTTTAAGAAATGGAAGCTTAACAAAGGGAATTTTTTTCTTCCCCCCAAGAAGTAAATTCGTCTAGCATTTAATCCTAGCACACTGAAAAAAAAAAAAAAAAAGAATTTCCTGGAAGGTTTAACACATACATAATCTATCCAATTGCGAACACCCAGGTTGGGTAAAATAATATTTAGATAGTTCGTTTGAAAAAAAACAAATATGACAGATTTGGCTAGAAATAACAGATAAGTACCCTGAGGATATGATCCAAAATTTGTGAAGTATTCTTTAAAAACAAAGCTGAGAGTAGACAGAAGCGAGGAATAACCCCAGCTAATTCAATTGAGTCAAAACATGGGTTTGGGCTAAAGCAGAGTCTGTCTTCTGTTTTTACAAGTTAGAACCGGTTATTTTATTATTCATTCAACAAATAGTTACTCAGCATTTACTATCACGTGTGGTAGGAAGAGTCTATAGCAGCTCTAACAGGACCTGCCCAGATGTTGGAAATGCCCTGTGTACACACCGTCCAACACGGTAGCCCGAGCACTTGGAATGTGGCTAAGTGCTGCTGAGAAAATGAGTTTTAAATTTTATTTAATTTTAAATAATTGAAATTTAAATAGCCACACGTAATTAGTGGTCACTGTAGTGGACACCTTGCAGGTCCAAAGGAATACAAGGGATATACTTTGAACGTATTTTAAGTGAAAGTAATATAGTTACACAAATTAATCCTGGAACATGAATCGTTTATCAACACTTACATTTATGACTAATTTTATATGAGAATGTTTAAAACACATGCGAAAAAAGATATTAAAGATACGGGCACAAAGGAATACATTCAGAGAGTAAATACTTTCCTTCTATGCAAGTGACAATACCCAGAGAGTAACTGTTAATTCATGAATGTCTGAAATACCGCTGAGAAAGGATAAGTATTTTCACGCTGCATTTGTGGATCGAAAATCGAAGGTATCAAGGCGAGGGATGACATGCCGGTGTCCCTCTGGAGTCAGTGGAAAAATCAGGAATTGAGATTACTCCAGTGACCCTGGATTTGGCCATTAAAACTGAATAACCTTAGTAACATCTTTTAAAAAAGTTTCACAACAGCTCTTAGTTTTTCTGAAATACTGTCTCATGACTGCAGCCAAAGAACGTTGGCTAAAAGCAGTAACCAGAACCCATCCCCCACAATGGTCTGCATGAGATAAACTAAGTATATAAAATACATGATGCAGTTTTTAATATTTAATGTAATAATTTGCTCCCTGCCAGTTCCCCTCCATATTTGCAAGACTACGGTGTGACTTACAAGCTAGCTGTGTTATGTTGTGCCGTTTCTGTGTGTGTAACAGATCAATATCATATGCACATGACACGCAGTGTTTACGTATGGAACTCAAGTGAAAATAAGCAGAGTCAGGGCTTGCAGAAGTTCTCAAGCTTTCAGCTTGCCTAAGAACCCCTGGGGCATGGATGCAAAGCTGACCCCGACCCTGACCTGGATACCCAGAGGCTGCTGCTGCCACTGTTTAGAGCACTGTGCTGCAGAGGGCAGCCTGTCCAAGCCCCCCTCTCACAGATGAGGAAAATGAGTCGGAAATGGCTTCAGGTACTGGGCTGAGGAGCCGGATCCACCACTTCCTATGTTTGCGTGATGGGGCGGGCAGGCCGCTATAGAAGCAGTGCGGCCACCTGCACTCAGGAGGCCTTCTAAGGTCACCGCAGCAGAGGCAGCCTCTTAAACTCCTGGGTGTCCCCCACCCCTAGGCTCCCTGGAATATTGCAGCACCTCTACTGGCCTGACCAGGCTGGAGCCCCCTGTGTCCTGGAGGCAGGAGGAGATTAAGGAACACAGTAACAGGAGGGGTGAAATGGACAATTAACCCCTTTTATGATGTCGCTCTGAAGACAAACAACAGTCCCCTTACGGAGGTCTCCATTGCATGGGGCTTCTATTTTAAAGAATGTCATTTATTGATTTTGCAATCAGATCAGTCTCTGATTCCCCTTTCTTACTAGTAAAATAGGGCAGCGATGAACATCTTTATCTTTGCATGTGCAAAGTACAACCACATGTATGGAATAACAGGCATAGATGCTGTATTAAAGAGTATATGCATCTACTTGTTCTAGTTATAGCCAAACTGTCCCCTGATGCTCTGCACTAATTCACACTGACAGCCCAGGTAGATGGGGTTGCCTCTGTCCCCATTCTCAACGTGGACCGGGGGATTTCTGAACGTACTTGATCCTTAGCTGTTTTCAGTGGGATCCTAATACGAATTATTTATGCCAGTTACACGTCTCCCATCTGCTTTTTTGCAAGACCTTTGCAGGTGCAGAATTGTTACAGTGTAAAACAGTATTGTCCAATGTGAAATGCATTATTATTTAAAAAGTAACTTACACTTACCAAGGTCTAAAATCTATAGGGAAGCCCTTACTTAAAAACAAATGATTAGGGATTCAAACTGGTGAACTAATGCACAATTTACGAATTTGCTAATTGTACTTCTGATGCGGGGGGTGGTCCTAAGAATCCTCCATAAATCCTTTGGGCACCGTCAGCAAACCCGTGGGGTTCAAGAGTGATGGATTTGAGAACTGCTTTGCCAGTCCCCCACTAAAACACACGCATGTACTGTTTCACCCCTTCATTAGCTGGTTACTTCTTGTCTGAAAGAACCCAAACACAGAAATGTCATTCAGGGCACACACACACACACGCACACACAGATCTTTAAATCATGCTGCTTTTTGGTGGGAGAGGGTGAAGATATGCCCAAGCAAGTCTTATTAAGAAAGGAAAAAAACTCCCCGCTTTTTGTTGGCAAAAATCTCAGTAACAATCAGAGGAATTACATTTGGAGTCAGAGAATTTTAGAACCAGAAGGGACTGTAAAAATCCAGACAGCATCCAGGTTCACTGGGTGAGCGAGGGTCCAAGCCTGGGCGCCCCCCACCCCGTCCCGGGCAGGGCAGCATCTCACCGGCCACGCTGCCTCCGCGCCCTCCTCCGAGCTCTGCTGCTCCACCGCTGTCCGCCTCTGTGGCTGTCAGGTCAGCCAGGAGAGGGGACATGCCCAGCGTGCCAAATTCAAAAGGTCCACACGGTTATGGACTGAAAAACCTCCCTCCCTCCCTGTCCCCAGCAGCCTAACTCCCCACTCTAGAGGTTACAAATACTGTCACTTCCTAGGGTCCCTTCCAGAGCTGTACCTGTCCTAGCAAGGATCCATGGGACATTTTCTCATCGCTACCCTCCTGCTAGTTTCTTTTTATCACATGAACGGTAGCTCGCTTCACACCGCTCCATACCCTGCTTTACCTCTTAGCAATGCGGCCTAGGGTCAACCCTTCAAATGGACAGACTGGCCCTCCGTCCTTTGAACCTCTCCATGGTACTTGATATTCCGTGCTAGGATGTACCATAGTGTATTTAACTAGACCCTAAATGTTTAGCTAGTGCTGCCATGAGCAGCTCTTGTCTAAAAAACCCAAGTTTCTGTGCTCGCTGAACGCAGAGAGGCAGGCTTGCAGCAGGAGCGTTTATGGTGACCACAGAGACAAAATACTAGTTGAAATGCTGTTAATATAACTCACAATGCACAGTCTCAGCCTTGGCGGCCCCAGCTCCTTTGGCCCAGTGTGTTCTTGCTGGACTCTCTGTGTATCTGGAAATAAGGGGCTGTCAGTGCTGGCAGGGGTAGCCACTGTCTTTTGAGGTAGGTTTAGATAAAAAAGTAAGGCCTTTAGCCTGAATGGGAGATGAGGTGTGTTGTATCAGTCAGGGTGTTCCAGAAAACAAAAGCAATGGATATAAATACCAATATACAAGTATAAAGAGACACATTGCAAGGAATTGGCTTATGTGATTGTGGAGCCGGCTGAGCAAGTCTGAGATTGTGGGGCAGGGTGTCAGAGAAGGTGGTCCTGCTCAGGCAGGGGCTGACACTGCCGTCCACAGGGCCAATTCTGTCTTCTTCAGGGAAGCCTCAGTTCTGTTCTTAAGGTCTTTCAACTAATTGGATGAGGCCCACCAAGATTACTCAGGATAATCTCCTTTACCTCAAGTTACATCTACAAAATACCTTCACAGCAACACCTAGATTAGTGGTTGATTGAGTGCCAGGGGACTGCAGCCCAGCCAAGGGGACACATCAAACCCAACATCGCTGGGCTCAGCCACACGGTCCTACTGGTCACACTGGGGTTGGTCATACGCTGCAGCCTTCTGGTGGTTTGGCTGGAACTGGGAGGCCTTGGAGGGCCTCCCTTGTGTGGCTGGCGGCTGGTGCTGGCTGTTGACAGGTCCCCTGTCTGCAGCAGCCTAGCTCGGATCCTTACTCACAGGCTGGGTTTCCAAGCCTCCACTTGGACTGTGTATGCTGAGGTTCTGTGGGCCAAAGCAAGTCACACAGAAGCCACATGGGCAAGTGGACTCTACCTCTTGACCAGAGGAATGGCAAAGGGTTGACAGTATAGGGACTGGAGGAATCTGTGGCCATTTTTGATCTTCCAGAGGATAAGATCAGAAAACAGTTTAGCAGCGACCGAGCCCAGCACCTCTTTAATTGTGCTGAAATAATGGAGGATTCTTCATTTCCCAGACTCGCAGGGTGGTGTGCTGGCTGTTCTCCTAATGCATCTGCTCGGACTGCCACAGCAAGGTACCACAGACTGTGGGCTTAAACAACAGACATTTATCCTGTCACAGTTCTGGAGGCTGTAAGTCTGAACTCAAGGTGTGAGGCAGGGCCACACTCCCTTAGCAAGCTCTAGCGGAGGATCCTTCTTTGCTGGGTCCTTGGTGTGCCTTGGCTAAGCATAGTTCCATTCTCTGCCTCTGTCTTCACATGGGTTTCTGTCCCGTGTGTCTCCCCCATGCCTGTGTCTCAAATCTCCCCCCTCTTTCTCTTATAAAGACATCAGTCATTGGAGTTAGGGCCCACGCTAAATGCAGGGCGATTTCATCTCAAGATCCTTAACTTAGGTATATCTGCAAAGACCCAATTTCCAAGTAAGGTCATATTAACAGGTAGTGAGGGTTAGGATTCGGACATATCTTTTTGGGGCCCACTATTTAACCCACTGAAAATATATAGGGATTATTTCTGTCATGCAACCAAAAAGAATCTGTGTGCTGATAGATGTATATAAATTTTCAGAGAGGATACTCAAGACACAGTGGTTACCTTTTGGGGGCAATGAAACGTGTTTTGCTTATCCGTTTATGGCCTGTGAGCTATTTAAGATTTTTTGCCCTGTGCATGTATAGTTTTATGTAAAGTACTATTTCCTGAGTTATCTAGCTTTTAAGTTTGTGGATTATTTTCATCCTCTTTACATTTTAAAATGTAAATTTTAAAATGCTAATAAATTTTACAAACATTTTTAATAGTAAAAATATTCGTGTCCTTGTCTCCCCTAAATATATTCTTGTTTCTTTATTGCTGAAATAAATTAAAGAAGGCAAATTCAGAAGACCCTGTTCATGGACTGGAAGACTGACTATTTTTAAGATGTCGGGAAGTTCCCCTCAAACTGATCTATGGATTTAACATGATCCTAATCAAAATCCCAGCCTCCTCAAAGAAACAAACTAAGAAAAAAAAAAAAAAAACCCAGAGAAATTGACAAGCCAGTAATGCAAAGGACCTGGAATCATCAAAACAATCTCAAAAAAGAAGAGCAAAGCTGGAAAACTCACATGACCGTATTTCAAGACTTACTATAAAGTTACATAATCAACACAGTGTGGTTTGTTGTAGGATAGACAAATGCTATTTACGGAACAGAAAAGAGAGTCCACAAATAGAGCCACACACATCCATGGTCATTTGATTTTTTTTTTTTTTTTTTGTCTTTTTTCCGTGTCCGGCAACGGATCGCAACCCTCAGT